GATAATCTTGGATGGAGCCGGTTTGTCGTAGCTTAGCGAGGTTTTCATCATAGTTCTCAAAAGCCGAGACTCCAAATCGCATGGTTAAGGCGTAGGTGAAGTTTGCCCATGTGGCTCTTGGGTGCCGTCTCCGGTACCACTGGTACCAGACGATCGCCTCTCCTTCCAGGTGTGTAGAAGCTAATAGAACACGATCATGTCTCTGTATGTCGTGGTAATCGAAGTATTTTTCTGTTCGCACAGGCCAGGATGTGGGATCTCCCCTTGCGAAGATGGGAAACTCAATTCTTGTTGTTCTTGATCCGCTTTGATGATTGGTATCACTGTGCTCTTCCTGATTCGGCGCAGGTGGTGCCTGTGCCAGTCATTCAAGCAAGGATGCGAAGCTTTCTTTGATTTCTTTGACGTCAGCCGATGTTCTTTGCATTTTTCCTTCCATGTTGTTGACTCTGTTCTCCATTGCGGATGACCTTGTGCTTGGCATCTTGGCTCTGATACCAACTTGTTAGGGACTGCCTAACTCAGGGACTCCTTCGAGGGAGCCTGCCTCCTGAATGAGAGAGAGAGAGAGAGAGATTGTATTCCCAAATTGATAATCCCCTCCTAGCTTCCTTTCCTTATTTATATACTGCTGTTACAATTCTGTTATACCCGCCTCTCCACTTGTCCAGTTTGTTAGTTATTTTGTTCTAGTGGTTAGCTGTTAGTTACATTCTTTAAAGGCTGGCATAGCATTTTCTTGTACACTTGTATTCCCTTTATTTGTGTCTCAACAGCAACAAATTGGGCCATTGGGGAGCTGTGTGGAGGACATGTAGGCATGGACAACTCACAAGAAGCAAAAGAAACCGCAGAATGGATCAGAATCAAGGTTCGATGGAATGGTTATCCCCCAGAAACTGCGAACATACTTGAAGGCGGAGAAATGATCGTGGTGACATTATGACCGGAAGTAATCCCTGAACTTCGTAGAAAGCCAGAAGACGCAAGAGAGTCTGTATTGGCAGAAAACAGATTGGTCAAGATGGCTCTCTCGGGCACAAACGTTACAGCTGAAGGGATTTCAAAGCTGAAGGGAATATCTATAGAAGGTTGGGCCGGAGGAGGAAATGAGACCAACACCGAAGAAGATGAGGGTCCTGAGGAGGTGGAGAGGCTGGAACCAATGAAGGCCATAGGGCACGTGGCAGAAGTTGAATCAACAAGGGAGAAATGTGGATAGGTGGGGGGAGATCGAGATAACTGGATTGGTCAACCTGAAAAGGTAGGTAGAAGAGTGTTAGACGGAGGTCAGGAGCAGAATGAAAATCCTTTTCAAATTTTAAATTTTGAGGGGATATGCGACAAAGTAGTTGAATTATGTTGTAGAAAACTGGAAGAGAGATGGGGCGATCCTGACCGTTGGAGAGGGGGAAGCAAAGTCAGACACTGACACCCGAGAAGGTGCTCCAGATCTCTCAGGAGTGATCTGACGGATGAGTCTTTCAGGGCCATTCAAAGTGGAGATTAGGTGGCTTGCACTGGACGCTCAGGGGAAGGGGAGACTTTCAATTCTTCTATTAAAAGCCCAAGCCCAAGCCCGCAACCACATGTCGAGTGGACCCATACACTTACGGGTAAGCAAGCGATCCAGCTGAGTGAGAAAACTCTTACTGATCAAATTGAAACCAGGGCAGCAAATGTTGAGGGAGAAATGGGGGAGGGATGCAGGGATCAAACTGGTACAGGAGGAAAACAGGGAGCTTGTGGGGGATGCCAAGCCATGAGTAGAGGTGTAAATCGGGCTGTGCCACCCGCGGCCCGGCATGGCCCGACACGATTTTCAGCTGGCTCAGCCTGGCACGATGGTTCACGGGCCGTGCCGGGCACGGGGTAAATAAACCAACAGCACAAGGTGGGGGTATAGGGCTGATGTGGATGAAATGATTGCATGCACGACCAACCCAGAGGGTTGTTTGCTTGTGATGGAAAGTTTGCATTGGGCAGATCATCAACCTACTTCACAGAAGTAGCTTGGGTTATGTAGGGAAACTTTCTATATGACCTGACTAGCCAAAATTTCCTTGTGATATAATTGGTTGGAGTGGTTTAATGAGTTAGCAAGTTTGTTGTTAGGGACCATTCCCCTGTAAGTTCTCTCCAAGTAGAGACCAAGCCCTCAGGGATTTAATCAAGATTGCATAAACTACCTAGCTTGTATTGTGAATAAACATGTAAAAAATGAGCACCATTTTTGATAACTTTTTAAGGGGACCTACCAATTCTAGAAGTAGAACTTCCCAAGATTGACTATTTTGGTTCAAATAAAGTGTAGGAAAATTCCAGATTTCATCTAGCTTTTGTTATTGGGTGAAACTCATTGTTTGGGATCTGTACCTGAGCTGTTTACCTCTACAGTAATGGTTCCAAATGTTTTAGATTCCTTGTTATACAGAAAGAATGCTTACATGCTGCATGCAGTGTCCCCCTTATGCAGGATAATGGTAAGATGCAATATCATTAGTTTGAGCTTGACTATTACTTTGTTTCTTTGACGGTTCCAAATTTGACTTGTAACCATCAACATCATTCCCTTTGAAGAAAAGTTATGCACAATGTTTCCGTGTTTAGAGTAGTTTGCATTACTTTTATCCTCACTTGCAATATTCTGTTTTCAGGGTTGAAAACCTGAAGAAATTTAAGAGTGAAGATGGAGACTGCCCCACATTGGTTTGCACAGATTTAGCTGCACGTGGACTGGACTTGGATGTGGATCATGTCATCATGTTTGATTTTCCATTGAACTCTGTAAAAATCATCTTTCTGGTTGCTTTGTTTGGTGTTGTTGCCATTTTTAAATTTCTTGTGGCTCCTTTAGAAACATTATGCCCTAATTTCTTTATATCACATTTCAGATTGACTACCTCCATCGCACTGGAAGAACTGCTCGTATGGGAGCAAAAGGTACATTACAATCATTGTTTTTCTTGTATAAACGTTTGAAACCACCATATTCAACCATTTTACTTATAAAATGACTCCTAACTATCGGAGAAGTAACATGTGTGGGAGTTGTTGGACAGTAACAGTGATTTATACTGTTTGTTGAATCAATTTATATTGCCGGTTTAGTTTAAATGTGATTATGGGTTTTAACCTCCAGTTAGGTCTGAGTAGTCACCACTCATCTTAGACTACCAGCAACAGTTGAAATTGTGAAAATTATCTGAATTTGAAGCTCCTACTCATGCTGTATCAGGCAAAGTGACAAGTCTGGTTGCAAAGAAGGACTTGATTTTAGCATCACGAATCGAGGAAGCCATAAGGAAGAATGAAAGCTTGGAGTCTCTTACTGCGGATAATGTCAGGAGGGACATTGTAAATGCTCGAATTAATCAGCAGAAGGGCAAGAATATGGCAAATGCTTCAAATCACAAAAACAAGACTACCCCAGCATCAAAATCCTCTAAAACCCGTGGGAAGGCTTCTTCCATCCAGACAGCAGGAAGGAAAACCGCAGGAGCCAAAACTGGAAAAACATCTAGACACCTTAAAATTGGCAAGACAGTAGCTCAGGCCTCTAAGCAATCGAAGTCTTCCCCTTCTAAACAAATGGGAGGCAGAAAATCTGGTTCCGTGAAACCTATGGGAACAAAGATCAGAGTTGTTGGGTTTAGAGGGCGGAGTTCATCATCTACCCAGAAAGGATCCTTAAGGTCCAGTTGATGCAGAGTGCAATTTTTGGACGAACTTTTTTTACCTGGCCGCATGTAAATTATTTATTCTCCGTTTCTCATGAAAATTTGAGCAATCTCAAATAAATGTTCATTTTGTTATTTGTTCAGAAGATCAACTTTCCCATGTTGAATGTCGACTGAAATGAGCTGAGGTATTCCATTGCAATCTTGTGCAATCTCGTATAAGACAACAGATCTGGGTTGCACTGGGTAAGGGTCCATTTGGTTTGCAGTTGGAATTAGAATCAAAATCCCTTGAAATCGGAATCAGAATGGTTTATTCCGACTCTATTGGGTTCAGATAGGAATTAGAATAAGCTGAAACGGGATTTCAATCTCAAAGGTGAGAGAGGGAAAGAATGCTATTTCAGCAAGAATGGGATTAGAATTCCGATTCTGCCCAATCATACAATTGGATCCAATTCCCATGAACCAAATGGGTTCTGAGATGTTTCCCATTCTCCACCCTTCTGGATTCGGGCAGTTTGGCAGTAGTACTAGACCTGGATTCGGGCAGTATGGCAGTAGTACTAGACCTGGCAATTGGGTTGGGTGGGTTGGGTTCGGGTTGGGTCAAGATACTTAGGGTTGAATTTTGGGTTGGGTTATCAAATGCTAGACCCTAACCCTAAATGTTCGGGTTAGGGTTGACCCATGGGTCAATTCAGGTCATCTTAAAAATTAACTAAAATTTATAAAAATAAATAAAAACTATATGAAAAATGTCAAAATTAAAGGAATTAACCTTAAAATTTCAAATATAAAATAAAAAACTTGAACATTTAACAATTTAAAGAGTAAGACTAAAGAGAAAAAATTAAAGAGTGGAAACTTTTAACAATGCATAAATAGTTCCAATTAGACTTGACAATCAGGTAAGCGGATTGATTCATGATCCAACTCAACCCAACCCAGTTTTTTTCGGATTGAGTTGGGCCGGGTCATTCTCACATTCAGGTAGCTAAATATGAGGCTTTAACCCTGTTTTTTTGGGTTGGGTCAAATCCGCAGGTTGGGTCAACTTTTTGCTAGGTATAACTAATACTGTTCAAACCTTATATCACGAAGGCCTGCGTCATAGACTCATAGTTTTACACTTCTACCAGTTACCTCATTGATAAAAAATTCCAATTCCAGAGGGTCGTGGACAATGGTGAGGAACCTGACTTGGGGACTGTTTATTCGATCTGAACGTCTGATTTAAGCCATAAAGTCATAAACTACCTAGTCTGTAGATTATTGCTGAAGATGGATGAGACTCTAATGATGAATCCTCGGTTGGTAACCTTTTACTTTTCAGAACCAATGCCATCCCTCATTAAGTTTGTTTTCATCATTCACAATCATCATCTTGGAATATGTTTTGGGTACGTATGGATATAAACGAAAAATTAAGATATGGATAAATATGCAAAAAAATTTAAATAAATCCTAAAAAATATATTAATAACGATAGTTATAAGTTTTATATGATTGTAAATAAGTTATTTAAAAGTAAAAAAAAAAAAAACTGTAATTTAATGGTCTATATAAAATTTGAGATATTGGGACACACTTAGTAACTATTGACAAATGATGGAATAACTAAAATATGAAAAAAAAACAAAAAAAAAATAAAATGTATATTAATATACATTAGTTTTAAAATAATCAATATAATTTATCTTAATATTTATTGATACATAAATTTTAATAATTAATTTTAACATTTATTGATAAGCACACACTAAGAAAAAGAGAAATTTACTTAAAAATAAAAATGCATAAATTTATAGCAAGCAAATGGATGTGGCTTAGTGGTGAACCCCTAATTGTTAAAGCCTAATGGCTAAGGTTTGAATATTGCTATTTTTAAGTTTCTAGTTTTATACTAACAAAATTATATTTATTGTTAAATTATGACCACTTAAATCATTTTTTACTACTTCAATCTTTTTCATCTGCTTCTAGTCCTTTCAGCTCCTTCAACTTGGAGCAAACCATAAAAGATGGGCAAGAAATTATCTATATCGTTCCTTTTCGCATGTATCGGACTTGTACAGGAATGATACGAATTTAGCTGATACGGTCCGATACGTTGCGAAATTTTGAACCTTGAGTTACATGAATCTTGTTTTGCTATTTTGTTGTTTTTAGTACCGCATGATTTATATTTATTGTTAAATTATGAGCACTTAAATCATTTTTTACTACTTCAATCTTTTTCATCTACTTCTAGTCCTTTCATCTCCTTCAACTTGGAACAAATCATTTTGTGTTTGTGTAAATAGTCTTTTATGAATGCAATCGTACCATTTTAATCATTTCTAGCCCATCTTTTATGGTTTATTCACTCATCCATCTCCATGCATTTTTGCCACACCCTATTTTTTTTTCACATCACACGTACAGTTATTTTTGTTTTGTTTTCATTAAATGTTATTTTTGTTTTGTTAAACTCCTCATCTCTATCTCTATTGCATTTTACCTCTTGCAATTTGGTCATGCTTTGGCTTTGAAAACATTGAGGGTTTCAACTATTAAAAAAAACCATTTTAGAAGTTTTAAACTAGGGCTTAAGATCAATTTCCACGGAAAAAAAAAGACTAGAAAACAAAAATCAATCTATGGAGTTTTAATTCATGATTGAAAAAAGACCATGCTTAGATCCTAGATACACTAAAATTTCCTTTCAGACTTTGTTTCTTAGAAGTATGGTAAACTTTCTAAGGCCCTGTTTGGATAGATTTTTATAAAGTACTTTCGTACTTTTTAAAATACAAAAAGTATGAAAAGTACAAAACCTCCTAAAAACATAAGTCCGCTTTTTATACTTTGTGCTTTTGGTGAAATAGTGCTTCTGTTTTTGTACGAATGGGTGGTCACATGTGACCACTCTTCGATAAAACTCATGACCCTATCTCTACTTGTCATTGATAGAGTTGGACTGCTGCATCGGTCTTGGACTGTCAAACCATCGGAAATTGTCACGAAACGTTCTTTTGCCAAACAGAAAATGGTACTTTTCTTTTGGAAAACATATTTTTAAAAATGTTTAATCCAAATGATTTTTCAAAGTAAAAATTTCAAAATTAAAATATTTCATGTACTTTGTATTTTGTTGTTTTTAAAAATACAGAAATAAAAGCCTATCCAAACAACACCTAAATTGTGCATCTTCCTATTTAATGGAATTTTTTATTTCGTTACATTTTAATTTGTAATTTTATCATAGTTTTTGATGGGAATGTCTGAACTTATTTTTACATTTGGGTGATATGAATTAGGCCGTTGAATAGATTCTGAAGGATCATCTACTTGTTAGATGGCTAAGGTTAGGGGTGTCGATGAACGGTTTCGGATTGGACCTGTCTAAATCAAAATCAATTTGGATGGATTAATAATTAAAATGACATATTAAATTCAACGAATCTAGACTAATAGTCCAAAATTTATTAGATCGGATTGGACCTGATCTATGTAATGGATTTATATTTGATTTATTAGATTTAATAATTAAAATGAAAATTCTGAAGTTTCGAAGAATAGAACAAAAGAAGCTTTGCCACTTGACATGGGCCCGTTTCAATTCCACTTGTACAACTTGCGCCAAGTGTCTAATAGATGTAGTTCGGATACAACTATATAACCTCCAATACGCCCCCTCAAGTTGGAGTAGGAGGAGGTTGAAATGTCCAACTTGGGTTATATAGCATGGAATTGTTCACGACCAAGTGCTTTAGTAAATATGTCAGCAGGCTGGAGTTTGGAGGGGATATGTGATGTGGTGATTAATTTGGACTGAAAATGTTCTTGTATGAAGTGGCAGTCAATTTCTATATGTTTAGTGCGTTTATAAAAGGCTGGGTTAGCAGTAATGTGGAGGGCTGCTTTATTTTTGTAAAGGAGTTTTATTGGTTGTAGGTGCAGGAGACAAGGTCAGTGAAGAGTTGCTTGAGCCAAATTAATTCACTTGTGGCAGCAGCCATGAAGCCATATTTTGCTTTAGCTGAGGAACTAGCAACAATGAAGAGTTGCTTGAGCCAAATTAATTCACTTGTGGCAGCAACCGTGGAGCGATATTTTACTTTAGCTGAGGAACAAGAAACAGTAGTTTTTTTCTATTTTTTTTTTTTTTTTGACTTCTAGGATAAGGGAGAGGTGCCAAGAGTGACACAGGCCATTAGACATAAATGGGCTCAAAATATGTACTGAATATGTGATGTCTAATCTTGTGATAGTCAAATAAAGGAGGCACTCTACTAAGCGTATATACTGGTTAGGATGTTCCATAGGTGGGCCCGTTTCAGGCCAAAGTGATGTTGCTCCATGTGAAAGAGGCTTGATCTGAGCATTCTTGTACACTTAAGAATCTCATGAAGATATTTCCGTTGACTAGGAAAATTCCATCAGTGGTCTGGGAAATTTCAATCCCTAAATAGTGTAAGTGCCCAAGATCTTTGATAGGAAAGCATTGACTGAGATAAGTCTTTAATTTAGAAATATCGTGTGGTCTGATCCAACAGTGATCAAATCATCTGGATAAGCAAGAGCAATGAGGGTATGATTGGAGTTGTGTAATGTAAAGAGGGTATGATCAGCAACTCCAGATTGCTTAAAGCCTGATTGAGTAAGAGAAGAGGCCAAAGTTTGAAACCAGTTCCGAGACGCCTGTTTAAGTTGATAGATGGATTTATTTAGCCTACAAACTCTTTTGTGTCCAGTGGATAATAAGCCAGGTGGAGGGTGCATAGGGGTGTCAATTGGACTGGATCTAGTCCAATGTGAGTTCATTATAAATGCACTAGGTTCAATCCAATCCAATGAATGTTTTGGACCAATTTGGATTGGTCCAATTCAATGTCTGGACCGACCAATTCATTTTGATTTAGATTGGTTTCAACCCAAACCCGATCTGTGTTAATTGGTCCAATTCAATGTCTGGACCGTTCAATTCATTTTGATTTAGATTGGTTTCAACCCAAACCCGATCTATTAACACATATATTCTTATCTTATATCAATAGACCGGGTATTAGCTTAATCCAACCCAATCCAATATAAATTTGTTATGGATGGACCAGACTCAATCCAATCTAATAAATATTTTGGATCGGATTGGTCCAATCCAATATGTCTTGTTGGTTCATCCAATTCGTTCAAATTGATTTTGCAGTCCATTGACAC